ATTTATATTATATTTAAAGGCTGTGATTTATAATTGTTTTTTCATTTGGAACAGTTTTAGTATAAATTGACTAATTTTTAATAATTAGACATCGAATCTTGCCATTTCGGAAAGTTTCTGATTATGTAAGTTTATGTGATTTTATTAATATGTGTTAATTAAGGATGTCTAAAATCTTCCTGTTAAATATCTCATAGAATCTTAGAGAATCGTCTTAAATAACGAGAAATATCATAAATGGAAGAAATAAAGATGAATTTTCTAGGAACAACTGAATGTTTTGAGCTATGAGATGTCAGTTTTCGTCATATCCATAATAGGCAATTTCAACCTTTGAACTTTTGAATTACAAGAATTCTTTTAACAGCTTATCAATTTTTTATTGCTCGCTTCAAATGTTTTCAGATGTGAGAGTTTTTAGTGTTGGAAATAGTGTATTTATACGCCATGGGTGAGAATGGTGTTGGAAGTATATAATATATCGAGATGTCGAGAGTTATTATCAAGACTGGTATTTTGTTTTGAGCATTGAGCAGATATCATTGTAATGTAATGGAAAACGAATTTTCAAATTTTTTCGAAATTATTTTTCCCAAATTTAGATATAGCAGCGCTGAATCAATTTCCTAAAACTTTGACTTAAATTGAAGTTTTAGGATTATTTTAAAGATGTTTAGCTTCCATCATTTTATTTAATTAGGGGAGAAATGTGTGAAGCGCTTATATTTTATTAACAATTAGTTCATCTTTTGCAATTTTGATCTAAAATTAATAAAATTTGACCTAAAACAGGGACTCTAAATTTAATTTGATTACAGCTTGTTGAATTTTTCAAAGTTCATTTTTAAGTTTGAAATTTTTGTTTGTAATTTACTGAATGCCTTATTCATTATATTTAGACATTCTAGCATTGATTTCATTTTTATTTGTTATACTTTTTGTGTAAAATATATCAATGGAATGCTAATTTTTGTATAACTAATTATCGATCAAACCAGACAAAAATTTTATGAAAAATTAGAGGAAGATCTGGAAGGATTTTGTTTAATTTGAAAGATATTCTTTATTTGGAATAAATTCTTCGATAGTTCATAGTGTTACTGATACCATCGTCATGATTCATATGATTTTTTTTCTGAATTGCTACAAAAGTATGGAATAAACTTGACCACTAATTATGGCTATTTGTTGGTATTACATGAATTATTAGATCCAGTTCTTTTCTAATTTGTTTCTAATTGTTCAGAAATATGATCAAATATGAAAAGTATGTGTCTTTTCATAAGTTACCTTCCCTGTTTTATTCATTTATATTCGTTTCATAATTTTAGGCAAATTATACGTGTATTTTCTATAAATATTTGCCAAAAATATATTTTCTTAGTAAAATTTGATGCGAAATGTTTAAATAATAGACATATGTACTTTTTTCATATGATTGAAGTGATAATGATGAAATGTGATATCATGTGGATAATATCCGATATTTGATATTATTAAATAATAATTCAATATAAAAGCTACAATAGTAATAGTTTAGAAGAAGCATTTAACAGGTATATAACTAACATATGTCTATTTCTGAAAAAAAAAAAAAAAGAAAGAAAAGAAAAAACGGAAAGAATCTTTGAACAGTTGATAAGATGCCTACAAAGTGTTCCTTATCAGTCATTTTGTCATTTTCATTTGCAAGCAATATGTCCATTGAATCAAAGTAAGTTCCTTATTTTCTTCTATTAATTTTTTATAAAAATAATCAATAAAAGATAACTTCTTACGCGTTACAACTTTTATGCAACTTTTCTTTTGTTTCGTTTTTTTTTCAATTAGTAAATTTTTTTTTATTTTTTGAAAAAAAAAAGCAAATAACGAATAGTTAATTAGTTTGTAATTAGATTAAAATTAATGTTGAAATCGTTGTAAAGTTAGTTATTTATGAAATTTCTTAAATTAAAAATTTAATTTATTTTCTGGGTTTTTATTTTATATATTGCACTGAGAATTTCTAGGTGGTTAACAAATAAATAATTTATTTAAGCCAAAATAACAAAGATTTCTTAAATTAAAACAATGAAGATTTTTTTTGAATTAAAGAATTTGTAAAAGATTTATGCGTTTCTATTTTATATTTTAGCATACCAAAAATGACATACAATTGCTATTACAATAAACTTTTTAGTGGTATTTAAATTTTTTTAAAAAATGAAGTGGAAAAAAAACTGATGAGAATTTATCTTTGATAACTTGCAAAGTTTTAAATTGCACTAAATTTTTGTATTATTTCTATTAAATTTCCCAGGCTAACTCCTTCAATTCTAATTCAATTAAAATATTAATTGGATGTTAATTAATTGAAATAATTGAAATATCAGTTGAAAATATAATCTTGTATTACATTGTACAATGATAGCATTCATGCTTAAGTTATCATTTAAAATGACATCAATATTTGCTATTGGATTATGGCAATTATACTATTTAAATCAATTAATTATTCTATCCTTTTTACATTGGCAGTAAATTCTTTTCCAATACTGAAATACAATTTATCAGTAACACTGATATTAACACTTAAGTTTCCGTTAAAATCTGCAAAGTATTGATATTATCACCAAATTATCATCGTAATTCAAATCTATGATTTAATTGAACAAATTTTTTTTTTTCTTTATGATAGAAATAGGGAAGCAAAGATCAATAAAACTGATGTTAACATTACAATCATATCTATCAGTATGATTCATCCTTTGATGCTAATGCTATCCATTAATATCTAATTACTAAATATTGTAATAGTTGTCATAATATAAATACATATTAGAAAATTTAATTATACATGCTAAAATTATCTTAATCATCTTAACTTACGATTTTTATATAAATATTTAAAGAAAAATTTTATTTTCTTCATTATTATTTTTATCATTAATAAATTTTTTGTCGAAAAATTTTAAAATAATTAACTAAGCTAAAGAAAAAAGTGTAAAATTTATGCATAAAATAACAAATTAATAATTCTTAAATATATATATATATTTATGAAATTATTTAGCATATAACTTTTTCAAATAATGCAAAAAATTAAATTATGCAGAAAAAAAAAAGACGAATAAATGCTTAATGATAACAATTCATTACAAGCAATAAATTGTGGAGTGATAAACTGCCTAAATTGCATCATATTAACTGATAATTCGTAGACATTTGTATCACATAAATGATACATGAACACATATTAGCATCAAATATTTGCTAATTTTTATCAGCTAATATTTTGTAATTAATATTTCAGTAAATGATAAAACGAAAACGATCATTTGATAAATTTGAAAGGAATTTTTCAAAAAAAAAAAAAAAGAAAAAATGAAAACTATGCAAAAAAAAGAATCATATTCTAAAAGTAACCAAGCATTAATTTCAAATAAGCTAATTAAACTATTTAATTATTTAATTCCAGTAATGGAACAGAAAAAGTGAACAGCGAAAAACTCATACTTCTTTTGTCACCTTTTCATTACGGTAAAAACAAAAAAAAATTATCTTGATTTTAATTTTAATTTTAATTTTTATTTGATAACTTTTCCATCAATTAGTGCAATTTCGGGAAGAAGTGAAAGTGGTAAATTTATTTTATTTCATTTCATTTAATTTGCCAAAAAAAAATTTTGACGTACTTCACTATTCATATCCATTTAATTCAATAATTTAAAAATGTTTAATGCGGACTAAATACATTATTAATATTACTGAAAATATTGTTCAAAATTTTCTTCAATCAAAAAAGCGAAGTTATTCATTTTGATTTAAATTTTAAATTTAATTTTATTTAATAACTTTTTCATTAATCAGTAGATTGTAATTTTTATCATTAACTATCAAGCGATATTTTAGAGATGAAAAAATTACAATTTGGATTGATAATGGTGATAAGAAAGCGGAACTTCATACTAAAACACCATGTTGTGATACAAACAGTACACTAGATGGAAGTAAGCATATTTGTTTTTCTTTTTTTTTTTTAAATATTTCGAAAAAAATCTTTTTAGGATGCATTTATTATATGAATCATAAAAGTATAAATGTAAGCACTTGAAATAATCATTCAAATTTTCCTTATCATTGGATATTGATAAGGTTCGTTTATTTTTGATCATCTATTTGTTCGTTAAAGTTCATGGTGCATTATTGTGATTAAATATTAAGTTTGAAATGAAAATTTTTATTTTCCAAAATTCTATTTTTTATAATTAATCTTAAAATTTAGTTCTTTTTCGTCATAATAATTGAGGTGATAAATTTAATTACAAGTTTTAATTTCAAAAAAAAAATTTTTTACTGTTTAAAAATATTTTCAAATTTTTACTTCTAAAATATCGTTGTGATGATATTTAAAAAAAAAAAAAATAGCATAAATTACAGGTATTGCTGCAGCTAATGAGTTATCATTATATGCTGGACATAAAAGTCTTCCATTAATTACGGCATTTTTTAAAAGTTTCAATGTTCAAAATGTTGATGATAATAAAGATGTACAAAAAAAGGTATGTGACATTTTTCATCCTACTTTTTTTTTTTCATACATTTTTTTACGGAATAAAAGTTGAATGAAAATTTGAAATGTTTTTTTGATGGAAGAAAAATAATTAGCGAATCTATCAAATCAGTGTACTGATAATATGTTTATTAAATGAATTATTGTTATGATATGTACACATATATTAATGTAAATAATTATAAAGGAATGAAATATTT